CCCCCCCCCCCCCCCCCCCCCCCCCCCCCCCCCCCCCCCCCCCCCCCCCCCCCCCCCCCCCCCCCCCCCCCCCCCCCCCCCCCCCCCCCCCCCCCCCCCCCCCCCCCCCCCCCCCCCCCCCCCCCCCCCCCCCCCCCCCCCCCCCCCCCCCCCCCCCCCCCCCCCCCCCCCCCCCCCCCCCCCCCCCCCCCCCCCCCCCCCCCCCCCCCCCCCCCCCCCCCCCCCCCCCCCCCCCCCCCCCCCCCCCCCCCCCCCCCCCCCCCCCCCCCCCCCCCCCCCCCCCCCCCCCCCCCCCCCCCCCCCCCCCCCCCCCCCCCCCCCCCCCCCCCCCCCCCCCCCCCCCCCCCCCCCCCCCCCCCCCCCCCCCCCCCCCCCCCCCCCCCCCCCCCCCCCCCCCCCCCCCCCCCCCCCCCCCCCCCCCCCCCCCCCCCCCCCCCCCCCCCCCCCCCCCCCCCCCCCCCCCCCCCCCCCCCCCCCCCCCCCCCCCCCCCCCCCCCCCCCCCCCCCCCCCCCCCCCCCCCCCCCCCCCCCCCCCCCCCCCCCCCCCCCCCCCCCCCCCCCCCCCCCCCCCCCCCCCCCCCCCCCCCCCCCCCCCCCCCCCCCCCCCCCCCCCCCCCCCCCCCCCCCCCCCCCCCCCCCCCCCCCCCCCCCCCCCCCCCCCCCCCCCCCCCCCCCCCCCCCCCCCCCCCCCCCCCCCCCCCCCCCCCCCCCCCCCCCCCCCCCCCCCCCCCCCCCCCCCCCCCCCCCCCCCCCCCCCCCCCCCCCCCCCCCCCCCCCCCCCCCCCCCCCCCCCCCCCCCCCCCCCCCCCCCCCCCCCCCCCCCCCCCCCCCCCCCCCCCCCCCCCCCCCCCCCCCCCCCCCCCCCCCCCCCCCCCCCCCCCCCCCCCCCCCCCCCCCCCCCCCCCCCCCCCCCCCCCCCCCCCCCCCCCCCCCCCCCCCCCCCCCCCCCCCCCCCCCCCCCCCCCCCCCCCCCCCCCCCCCCCCCCCCCCCCCCCCCCCCCCCCCCCCCCCCCCCCCCCCCCCCCCCCCCCCCCCCCCCCCCCCCCCCCCCCCCCCCCCCCCCCCCCCCCCCCCCCCCCCCCCCCCCCCCCCCCCCCCCCCCCCCCCCCCCCCCCCCCCCCCCCCCCCCCCCCCCCCCCCCCCCCCCCCCCCCCCCCCCCCCCCCCCCCCCCCCCCCCCCCCCCCCCCCCCCCCCCCCCCCCCCCCCCCCCCCCCCCCCCCCCCCCCCCCCCCCCCCCCCCCCCCCCCCCCCCCCCCCCCCCCCCCCCCCCCCCCCCCCCCCCCCCCCCCCCCCCCCCCCCCCCCCCCCCCCCCCCCCCCCCCCCCCCCCCCCCCCCCCCCCCCCCCCCCCCCCCCCCCCCCCCCCCCCCCCCCCCCCCCCCCCCCCCCCCCCCCCCCCCCCCCCCCCCCCCCCCCCCCCCCCCCCCCCCCCCCCCCCCCCCCCCCCCCCCCCCCCCCCCCCCCCCCCCCCCCCCCCCCCCCCCCCCCCCCCCCCCCCCCCCCCCCCCCCCCCCCCCCCCCCCCCCCCCCCCCCCCCCCCCCCCCCCCCCCCCCCCCCCCCCCCCCCCCCCCCCCCCCCCCCCCCCCCCCCCCCCCCCCCCCCCCCCCCCCCCCCCCCCCCCCCCCCCCCCCCCCCCCCCCCCCCCCCCCCCCCCCCCCCCCCCCCCCCCCCCCCCCCCCCCCCCCCCCCCCCCCCCCCCCCCCCCCCCCCCCCCCCCCCCCCCCCCCCCCCCCCCCCCCCCCCCCCCCCCCCCCCCCCCCCCCCCCCCCCCCCCCCCCCCCCCCCCCCCCCCCCCCCCCCCCCCCCCCCCCCCCCCCCCCCCCCCCCCCCCCCCCCCCCCCCCCCCCCCCCCCCCCCCCCCCCCCCCCCCCCCCCCCCCCCCCCCCCCCCCCCCCCCCCCCCCCCCCCCCCCCCCCCCCCCCCCCCCCCCCCCCCCCCCCCCCCCCCCCCCCCCCCCCCCCCCCCCCCCCCCCCCCCCCCCCCCCCCCCCCCCCCCCCCCCCCCCCCCCCCCCCCCCCCCCCCCCCCCCCCCCCCCCCCCCCCCCCCCCCCCCCCCCCCCCCCCCCCCCCCCCCCCCCCCCCCCCCCCCCCCCCCCCCCCCCCCCCCCCCCCCCCCCCCCCCCCCCCCCCCCCCCCCCCCCCCCCCCCCCCCCCCCCCCCCCCCCCCCCCCCCCCCCCCCCCCCCCCCCCCCCCCCCCCCCCCCCCCCCCCCCCCCCCCCCCCCCCCCCCCCCCCCCCCCCCCCCCCCCCCCCCCCCCCCCCCCCCCCCCCCCCCCCCCCCCCCCCCCCCCCCCCCCCCCCCCCCCCCCCCCCCCCCCCCCCCCCCCCCCCCCCCCCCCCCCCCCCCCCCCCCCCCCCCCCCCCCCCCCCCCCCCCCCCCCCCCCCCCCCCCCCCCCCCCCCCCCCCCCCCCCCCCCCCCCCCCCCCCCCCCCCCCCCCCCCCCCCCCCCCCCCCCCCCCCCCCCCCCCCCCCCCCCCCCCCCCCCCCCCCCCCCCCCCCCCCCCCCCCCCCCCCCCCCCCCCCCCCCCCCCCCCCCCCCCCCCCCCCCCCCCCCCCCCCCCCCCCCCCCCCCCCCCCCCCCCCCCCCCCCCCCCCCCCCCCCCCCCCCCCCCCCCCCCCCCCCCCCCCCCCCCCCCCCCCCCCCCCCCCCCCCCCCCCCCCCCCCCCCCCCCCCCCCCCCCCCCCCCCCCCCCCCCCCCCCCCCCCCCCCCCCCCCCCCCCCCCCCCCCCCCCCCCCCCCCCCCCCCCCCCCCCCCCCCCCCCCCCCCCCCCCCCCCCCCCCCCCCCCCCCCCCCCCCCCCCCCCCCCCCCCCCCCCCCCCCCCCCCCCCCCCCCCCCCCCCCCCCCCCCCCCCCCCCCCCCCCCCCCCCCCCCCCCCCCCCCCCCCCCCCCCCCCCCCCCCCCCCCCCCCCCCCCCCCCCCCCCCCCCCCCCCCCCCCCCCCCCCCCCCCCCCCCCCCCCCCCCCCCCCCCCCCCCCCCCCCCCCCCCCCCCCCCCCCCCCCCCCCCCCCCCCCCCCCCCCCCCCCCCCCCCCCCCCCCCCCCCCCCCCCCCCCCCCCCCCCCCCCCCCCCCCCCCCCCCCCCCCCCCCCCCCCCCCCCCCCCCCCCCCCCCCCCCCCCCCCCCCCCCCCCCCCCCCCCCCCCCCCCCCCCCCCCCCCCCCCCCCCCCCCCCCCCCCCCCCCCCCCCCCCCCCCCCCCCCCCCCCCCCCCCCCCCCCCCCCCCCCCCCCCCCCCCCCCCCCCCCCCCCCCCCCCCCCCCCCCCCCCCCCCCCCCCCCCCCCCCCCCCCCCCCCCCCCCCCCCCCCCCCCCCCCCCCCCCCCCCCCCCCCCCCCCCCCCCCCCCCCCCCCCCCCCCCCCCCCCCCCCCCCCCCCCCCCCCCCCCCCCCCCCCCCCCCCCCCCCCCCCCCCCCCCCCCCCCCCCCCCCCCCCCCCCCCCCCCCCCCCCCCCCCCCCCCCCCCCCCCCCCCCCCCCCCCCCCCCCCCCCCCCCCCCCCCCCCCCCCCCCCCCCCCCCCCCCCCCCCCCCCCCCCCCCCCCCCCCCCCCCCCCCCCCCCCCCCCCCCCCCCCCCCCCCCCCCCCCCCCCCCCCCCCCCCCCCCCCCCCCCCCCCCCCCCCCCCCCCCCCCCCCCCCCCCCCCCCCCCCCCCCCCCCCCCCCCCCCCCCCCCCCCCCCCCCCCCCCCCCCCCCCCCCCCCCCCCCCCCCCCCCCCCCCCCCCCCCCCCCCCCCCCCCCCCCCCCCCCCCCCCCCCCCCCCCCCCCCCCCCCCCCCCCCCCCCCCCCCCCCCCCCCCCCCCCCCCCCCCCCCCCCCCCCCCCCCCCCCCCCCCCCCCCCCCCCCCCCCCCCCCCCCCCCCCCCCCCCCCCCCCCCCCCCCCCCCCCCCCCCCCCCCCCCCCCCCCCCCCCCCCCCCCCCCCCCCCCCCCCCCCCCCCCCCCCCCCCCCCCCCCCCCCCCCCCCCCCCCCCCCCCCCCCCCCCCCCCCCCCCCCCCCCCCCCCCCCCCCCCCCCCCCCCCCCCCCCCCCCCCCCCCCCCCCCCCCCCCCCCCCCCCCCCCCCCCCCCCCCCCCCCCCCCCCCCCCCCCCCCCCCCCCCCCCCCCCCCCCCCCCCCCCCCCCCCCCCCCCCCCCCCCCCCCCCCCCCCCCCCCCCCCCCCCCCCCCCCCCCCCCCCCCCCCCCCCCCCCCCCCCCCCCCCCCCCCCCCCCCCCCCCCCCCCCCCCCCCCCCCCCCCCCCCCCCCCCCCCCCCCCCCCCCCCCCCCCCCCCCCCCCCCCCCCCCCCCCCCCCCCCCCCCCCCCCCCCCCCCCCCCCCCCCCCCCCCCCCCCCCCCCCCCCCCCCCCCCCCCCCCCCCCCCCCCCCCCCCCCCCCCCCCCCCCCCCCCCCCCCCCCCCCCCCCCCCCCCCCCCCCCCCCCCCCCCCCCCCCCCCCCCCCCCCCCCCCCCCCCCCCCCCCCCCCCCCCCCCCCCCCCCCCCCCCCCCCCCCCCCCCCCCCCCCCCCCCCCCCCCCCCCCCCCCCCCCCCCCCCCCCCCCCCCCCCCCCCCCCCCCCCCCCCCCCCCCCCCCCCCCCCCCCCCCCCCCCCCCCCCCCCCCCCCCCCCCCCCCCCCCCCCCCCCCCCCCCCCCCCCCCCCCCCCCCCCCCCCCCCCCCCCCCCCCCCCCCCCCCCCCCCCCCCCCCCCCCCCCCCCCCCCCCCCCCCCCCCCCCCCCCCCCCCCCCCCCCCCCCCCCCCCCCCCCCCCCCCCCCCCCCCCCCCCCCCCCCCCCCCCCCCCCCCCCCCCCCCCCCCCCCCCCCCCCCCCCCCCCCCCCCCCCCCCCCCCCCCCCCCCCCCCCCCCCCCCCCCCCCCCCCCCCCCCCCCCCCCCCCCCCCCCCCCCCCCCCCCCCCCCCCCCCCCCCCCCCCCCCCCCCCCCCCCCCCCCCCCCCCCCCCCCCCCCCCCCCCCCCCCCCCCCCCCCCCCCCCCCCCCCCCCCCCCCCCCCCCCCCCCCCCCCCCCCCCCCCCCCCCCCCCCCCCCCCCCCCCCCCCCCCCCCCCCCCCCCCCCCCCCCCCCCCCCCCCCCCCCCCCCCCCCCCCCCCCCCCCCCCCCCCCCCCCCCCCCCCCCCCCCCCCCCCCCCCCCCCCCCCCCCCCCCCCCCCCCCCCCCCCCCCCCCCCCCCCCCCCCCCCCCCCCCCCCCCCCCCCCCCCCCCCCCCCCCCCCCCCCCCCCCCCCCCCCCCCCCCCCCCCCCCCCCCCCCCCCCCCCCCCCCCCCCCCCCCCCCCCCCCCCCCCCCCCCCCCCCCCCCCCCCCCCCCCCCCCCCCCCCCCCCCCCCCCCCCCCCCCCCCCCCCCCCCCCCCCCCCCCCCCCCCCCCCCCCCCCCCCCCCCCCCCCCCCCCCCCCCCCCCCCCCCCCCCCCCCCCCCCCCCCCCCCCCCCCCCCCCCCCCCCCCCCCCCCCCCCCCCCCCCCCCCCCCCCCCCCCCCCCCCCCCCCCCCCCCCCCCCCCCCCCCCCCCCCCCCCCCCCCCCCCCCCCCCCCCCCCCCCCCCCCCCCCCCCCCCCCCCCCCCCCCCCCCCCCCCCCCCCCCCCCCCCCCCCCCCCCCCCCCCCCCCCCCCCCCCCCCCCCCCCCCCCCCCCCCCCCCCCCCCCCCCCCCCCCCCCCCCCCCCCCCCCCCCCCCCCCCCCCCCCCCCCCCCCCCCCCCCCCCCCCCCCCCCCCCCCCCCCCCCCCCCCCCCCCCCCCCCCCCCCCCCCCCCCCCCCCCCCCCCCCCCCCCCCCCCCCCCCCCCCCCCCCCCCCCCCCCCCCCCCCCCCCCCCCCCCCCCCCCCCCCCCCCCCCCCCCCCCCCCCCCCCCCCCCCCCCCCCCCCCCCCCCCCCCCCCCCCCCCCCCCCCCCCCCCCCCCCCCCCCCCCCCCCCCCCCCCCCCCCCCCCCCCCCCCCCCCCCCCCCCCCCCCCCCCCCCCCCCCCCCCCCCCCCCCCCCCCCCCCCCCCCCCCCCCCCCCCCCCCCCCCCCCCCCCCCCCCCCCCCCCCCCCCCCCCCCCCCCCCCCCCCCCCCCCCCCCCCCCCCCCCCCCCCCCCCCCCCCCCCCCCCCCCCCCCCCCCCCCCCCCCCCCCCCCCCCCCCCCCCCCCCCCCCCCCCCCCCCCCCCCCCCCCCCCCCCCCCCCCCCCCCCCCCCCCCCCCCCCCCCCCCCCCCCCCCCCCCCCCCCCCCCCCCCCCCCCCCCCCCCCCCCCCCCCCCCCCCCCCCCCCCCCCCCCCCCCCCCCCCCCCCCCCCCCCCCCCCCCCCCCCCCCCCCCCCCCCCCCCCCCCCCCCCCCCCCCCCCCCCCCCCCCCCCCCCCCCCCCCCCCCCCCCCCCCCCCCCCCCCCCCCCCCCCCCCCCCCCCCCCCCCCCCCCCCCCCCCCCCCCCCCCCCCCCCCCCCCCCCCCCCCCCCCCCCCCCCCCCCCCCCCCCCCCCCCCCCCCCCCCCCCCCCCCCCCCCCCCCCCCCCCCCCCCCCCCCCCCCCCCCCCCCCCCCCCCCCCCCCCCCCCCCCCCCCCCCCCCCCCCCCCCCCCCCCCCCCCCCCCCCCCCCCCCCCCCCCCCCCCCCCCCCCCCCCCCCCCCCCCCCCCCCCCCCCCCCCCCCCCCCCCCCCCCCCCCCCCCCCCCCCCCCCCCCCCCCCCCCCCCCCCCCCCCCCCCCCCCCCCCCCCCCCCCCCCCCCCCCCCCCCCCCCCCCCCCCCCCCCCCCCCCCCCCCCCCCCCCCCCCCCCCCCCCCCCCCCCCCCCCCCCCCCCCCCCCCCCCCCCCCCCCCCCCCCCCCCCCCCCCCCCCCCCCCCCCCCCCCCCCCCCCCCCCCCCCCCCCCCCCCCCCCCCCCCCCCCCCCCCCCCCCCCCCCCCCCCCCCCCCCCCCCCCCCCCCCCCCCCCCCCCCCCCCCCCCCCCCCCCCCCCCCCCCCCCCCCCCCCCCCCCCCCCCCCCCCCCCCCCCCCCCCCCTCCACCGCTACCTGTCTCTCAACTCTCACCATCCCTCCTCGCACCTCCGCGTCCTCCACGTGGTCCCCCCCGCCCCACTGCTCGCTCCGCCCATCCATCTGCCCGCACAGCACTGTCTCCCTGCCCCTCCCAGCTCCCGCCCCTCACCATTTTACCCCGCTCTCACTTCCCCCGGTCTCCCCCCCCCCTCCCTGGACCACCCCCCCCCAGCTCTCCCTACCCTAGCTTCTGCCGCTTCGCTTCAGCTACCTCGCCTAGGTTCCCCCCTCCTCCGGGCTAGTCCCCCTCGTCCCCCCCCTCCCTCCACCACGTGCAACTCCTTTTTCATCCGGCATTCGCTCCTCGTGTGGTACCCCCGGACGCCATCTCTCTCGGCCGCCCTTTCCCCCTGCCTCTTCCCCCCCCGGGGCCCCCTGTCCTCTCCCTTTCCTTCATCCCCTGCGCCCCGTCCACCTCCCACAGCTCCCTCCGTCTCCCCTACCCCTCCCGCACCATCCGTCCCCTCCCGTCCCACGTGGCTCACCACGCTATCTTGCCCGTCTTCGGCGCATCCCATCCCCCCACCGCTTACACCCAACCCACTGGCGCCTCCTTGCGGGGGCACGGCTGCCCCGCGCCACCTGGCATGCCCCTTTCTGTCCTCCGCCTACCTCCGCGACCACGACCCGCAGCTGCTCCCGCGCCGCCTTCCCCACCCCCCATTAGCCTCTCTATCTCCCCCCCCCCCCCACCACCCCCCCCTCCCCCCCAGTACACACCGGTCCCCCCCCATCTCTCTCTCCACCTGTCCCACCTCCGTCCTTCTCCCACCCCCCTTCGCCCCTCGGCATGCTTCACCCCCCCTCTCCGTCTCCTCCCCATTCTCTACCGCAGCCACCCGGACTCTCCCTTTCCCCCCTCACGCCTCTCCGTCCCCCCCCGCCCCCCCCTTCCGACCACCGCGCCCTCCCCCACACCGCCCTCCCTCCCCTCAACCCCCCTCAACTCCCCATCACCCCCCCCTCGGCCATTTGAGACTCTGTCCTCCCCCTTTCCCCCACGTCTTCCGCCCCAGGTTCCCTCCCCCAATCCTCCGCCCCGCTACGCGTACTTCCTTCTTTCCTCTGAACTCGACACTCCTCTTCTTGCCCCCTGCCACTCACCACCATGTTATTCTCCCCCATCCTCCCTCATCCCCCCTCTTGCCCCCCGCTGCCCCCCCTTCCCCGCCTCCACCCCCACCCCCACCCTGCATGTCCCTTGCCCGTTCCCTCTCCGTGCCCCCTCCCTTCCCGTACGCACTTGCTCCTCCAGGCCCGGCCTGCCCCCTCTCTATCCTGCCGTCTGCCGCCCCCTCCTCGGGCACCTGCCCCACTTCTTCCACCCATGTGTCCCTTCCACCCCCCCCGTGCTCGGTGTGTTCCCCCGCCCCCCTCCCCCCCTTGGCGATCTCTGCCTGCCCCCCCCGCCCTCCTCTAGGTCGACGCACTCTCTCATGTTTTGCGCCAGTTCTGGCGCCCCCCTCCCCTCCGTCTCGGTCCCTCACCGCTCCTCTCTCCAGGTTCCCTCGTCCCCCGGCCTAGGCTTACATACTGGTTCCTTCGGTCGCTCCCCCGCGCCCCGCCCCCCCCCCTCCCTTCCCCTCTATGCCCCTAGACTCTTATCCCGGTTGCCTAGCATCCCGTCCGACCCCCCACCCATACCCGGTCCCGCTTCGCCGTCATCCGGCGCTCCATGTCCCCTCCCCCCCACCCTATCCCCTCCCCCCCTCCCCCCCCCTCCGGCTCTCTCTGGCCCCCGCCCCACTCTCCCCCTCCCTCCTCTCCCCCCCTCCCCACCCCCTCCCTCGCCCCGTTCCACCCCTCCCCATTCCTTACCGCCTCCGCGGTCGCCCCCTCCCCTGGCCCTAACCTCCGAACCTGACCCCCGCCTCCGCTCGCTTCTCCTTCCCGCAGTCCCTGCACCCCCCCTTCCTGCGCTATGCCTGCCCCCCCTCCCATTTTCCCTCCGCTCGACCGCCCGCCCCACGGTCGCCCCCGGCCGTCCCCGTACCCAGTCGACCCACCGCGCGCGGCTCTACGGTTCTCAACGGCTCTACCCTCCACTTCCTCCCGCTCTTCATCTCTCTACCCCCCTCCTACATCCCACTCCTACCCGGGCCTCCACTCCCACCTCGCCCCCGTCCCGGCTATCTCTCCCGCTGCTCCCGTCTTCCTCCCAGCAGCCCCCCCAATCCTCGACCTTACCCCCGCCCCCCGCCTACTAGGTCCTCCACCCCCCCAATCTCTCCCACCCGTCCGCCCTCGTCACTCCCCCCATCCTCTCTCATTCTCTCCTACCCTCGGTCCCCCGGTGAGCCCTCCCCCCCCTCCGCCTCGCTCGCCTCTCTACCGTCAGGCTACTCCCTTCCGTCTCCCCAACCCCAACCTCTTCCAGGGGGGCATGGTCATTGCCCGCTTCTTCCATATCTCCCCCCCCCCCCCAACCCACACCCCTCCGCCCTCCCACCCCCCTCGCTAATCCCTCCCCTGCCCACCCATCTACGCGCGCTCGTTCCCCTCCCTTTGGGTGCTCCCTTCGCTTTCCTCCCCCACCCCCCCACCCAACTCCCTCCCTCCCCACTACCCCAACGGCCCCTCCCCCCCCCTCCCTGCTTCAATAGACCTGCTATGCTCTTCCCCGCCCCTCAACAACCTCCTTCCTCCCCACTACCCTTCAACCGACCCCGCCCACCCCCGCCCCTCCGCCGATCCTCTTTCACCCGCCCTCCGCTGCCTCCGCCACCTCCCGTTACCCTACCCTCATCGCCCCCCCGCTCTCCACTCCCCCGCGCTTCTCCTCTCGCCCCCCCTTGCCGACCCTCCCCATCCCTACCCTCTTCCCCGGAGCCCCGCCTCCCCCGTCCTGCTCCCCCCTCCCCATCCTCCCCCCCTCACCCCCATGCACGAGGTCTCCATTACCCCCCACCTTTCTCCATCCCGGACACGTCGCCACCCATCCTCCGCTACCTGCTCCCCGCCGAACCCACTCTCAGGGCCCCCCCGACTCCATTCTCCCCCCCTTATTGATTTTTCCTCTTCCCCTCCTCCCTTCGGGCCCGTCCACCCCCCCCCCTGTCACCCCCACCCTCGTTATCCCATGCCTGCCCCTCTAACCACCTCCTGCCCAACGTTCCTTCAGCCCCTGCGAGTTCCGTCCCCTTTTTCTGCCCGTACCCCCCCCCCTCTGGTCCCACCCCCACCCTCCCCGCTCCTCGCGCCACCCGCCATGCTCATGCCCCCCCTCCCCTCCCCCTCCTCCCCCCCCCAGTTTTTTTAGCTTCGTTACCCTTTTCCCATCTCATCGTCTCCCCCTCCCCCTCCTCATCTTGCCCCCAACCCGGCCCTGTTTGGCGCCCCCCCCTTCCCCTCCCACACCCTTCGGCGCACCCTACCTCGCCCCCGATCTTGGGTGTCGGAGCCCTCCCCTATCCTCCCCCTCTCTCCCCCCATCCCTCAACCGCGCCTCCCGCTAACCCTCAGCTCCTTCCCCCCGCGCCGCCGCCTTGTGTCTCCTCCCGCCATACTTTTGGATCCTTCACTTTATGGCCTACACTTTTGGATCCTACAACACTTTATGGCCTACACTTTTGGATCCTACACTTTATGGCCAACACTTTTGGATCCTACACTTTATGGCCAACACTTTTGGATCCTTCACTTTATGGCCAACACTTTTGGATCCTACACTTTATGGCCAACACTTTTTGGATCCTACACTTTATGGCCTACACTTTTGGATCTTACACTTTATGGCCTACACTTTTGGATCCTACACTTTATGGCCAACACTTTATGGACCCTTCACTTTATGGCCTACACTTTTGGATCCTACACTTTATGGCCTACACTTTTGGATCCTACACTTTATGGCCTACACTTTTGGATCCTACACTTTATGGCCAACACTTTATGGATCCTTCACTTTATGGCCAACACTTTATGGATCCTACACTTTATGGCCAACACTTTATGGATCCTTCACTTTATGGCCTACACTTTTGGATCCTACACTTTATGGCCTACACTTTTAGATCCTACACTTTATGGCCTACACTTTTGGATCCTACACTTTATAGCCAACACTTTATGGATCCTACACTTTATGGCCTACACTTTTTGGATCCTTCACTTTATGGCCTACACTTATGGATCCTTCACTTTATGGCCAACACTTTATGGATCCTTCACTTTATGGCCTACACTTTTGGATCCTACACTTTTTGTGAACAAAATTTAGAGAGTTCGACAGACCTCAAAAATAGACCAAAATTTAGCTAGTATCCAATTATCCAGACTTAACATATAAAAAGGTGTCTGCTTACCTTATTCTTGTCAAACAGGTGCATGCACGGACTGTCCGAGAGGTCTGCCAACTCTTTTCCGCGTCGGAAAATTCAATTTAAACGCAAGTGAAAGAAGCGACAAGAAGCATCCAGGAACAGCTCTTCCAGTCTGCTGGAATCCCCGCTCCCAGACGCAGCATGCCGTTCTCTCACACCGAGAAAAAGAAACAAAGGAAACTCCCTCAAAACAATCCAGAGAATGGCGCACACTGAGCCGCGCATCCTCCACCAAATCTGTCAGGAATGAACCAGACAGAGACGGATCGTGGTGCGCCAAACTCTGGAAGTTTATTTAAGTTTCTCTCAAGTTCCAGTGGTTTCCATTGTTTCTTTCTCTCAGACAAAATGGAGTCAGTACACAGTTTATATAGTCATTGTCACTTCACACATCGAAAGACATACGTGTCACACAGAGACAGTGCATATCATAGTCAAAATAATCAGAGTCCTTGTAGAGTCCTGCACGTGGGCCATATTGCTATCTAATACTAACAGGCTGGCCTGCCTCAAAGCTGGAGTCCTCAATGCAGTGCTGTATGAAGAAGGCCTCACCGCTGCGCTGAACTCCATGTTTGAGGCATTCACTTTACACTTTATGGCCTACACTTTTGGATCCTACACTTTATGGCCTACACTTTTGGATCCTACACTTTATGGCCTACACTTTTGGATCCTACACTTTATGGCCAACACTTTATGGATCCTTCACTTTATGGCCTACACTTTTGGATCCTACACTTTATGGCCTACACTTTTGGATCCTACACTTTATGGCCTACACTTTTGGATCCTACACTTTATGGCCAACACTTTATAGATCCTTCACTTTATGGCCAACACTCCATGGATCCTACACTTTATGGCCAACACTTTATGGATCCTTCACTTTATGGCCTACACTTTTGGATCCTACACTTTATGGCCTACACTTTTGGATCCTACACTTTATGGCCTACACTTTTGGATCCTACACTTTATGGCCAACACTTTATGGATCCTTCACTTTATGGCCAACACTTTATGGATCCTTCACTTTATGGCCAACACTTTATGGATCCTTCACTTTATGGCCTACACTTTTGGATCCTTCACTTTAAAGCCAACCCTTTTTGATCCTACACTTTATGGCCAACACTTTTGGATCCTTCACTTTATGGCCAACACTTTTGGATCCTTCACTTTATGGCCAACACTTTATGGATCCTTCACTTTATGGCCAACACTTTATGGATCCTTCACTTTATGGCCAACACTTTATGGATCCTACACTTTATGGCCTACACTTTTTGGATCCTACACTGTATGGCCAACACTTTATGGATCCTACACTTTATGGCCAACACGTTTGGATCCTACACTTTATGGCCAACACCTTTTGGATCCTACACTTTATGGCCTACACTGTTTGGATCCTACACTTTATGGCCTACACTTTTTGGATCCTTCACTTTATGGCCTACACTTATGGATCCTTCACTTTATGGCCAACACTTTATGGATCCTTCACTTTATGGCCTACACTTTTGGATCCTACACTTTTTGTGAACAAAATTTAGAGAGTTTGACAGACCTCAAAAATAGACCAAAATTTAGCTAGTATCCAATTATCCAGACTTTACGTATAAAAAGGTGTCTGCTTACCTTATTCTTGTCAAACAGGTGCATGCACGGACTGTCCGAGAGGTCTGCCAACTCTTTTCCGCGTCGGAAAATTCAATTTAAACGCAAGTGAAAGAAGTGACAAGAAGCATCCAGGAACAGCTCTTCCAGCCTGCTGGAATCCCCGCTCCCAGACGCAGCATGCCGTTCTCTCACACCGAGGAAAAGAAACAAAGGAAACTCCCTCAAAACAATCCAGAGAATGGCGCACACTGAGCTGCGCATCCTCCACCAAATCTGTCAGGAATGAACCAGACAGAGACGGATCGTGGTGCGCCAAACTCTGGAAGTTTATTTAAGTTTCTCTCAAGTTCCAGTGGTTTCCATTGTTTCTTTCTCTCAGACAAAATGGAGTCAGTACACGGTTTATATAGTCTCAGTCGTCATCAGGTCAGGTCATATTTCGAGAGATGTCATCTTGGACATCAGTAGGGTCCAAGCCATGGTTTTGGTTACTCCAGATTCATTCTGGTCACTCCAGGTACATCAGGTCACTTGGGTTTCTCTTTGCGATGCACTTCTGGGTAATGGTGGTGCAGTGTCACAGTTCCTGTGCACAACTTGTTATGCAGTAGTTACTTTCTATGGTTAAGTCATTTTGATTCTACTTCAAAGAAAATTTCTATTCATGCTGTTGCTAATGTCCCAAGCAAGCGCAATGATTCAGTTTACTTCTCTAATTTGTGTTTTTATCAGATATAATCCTAATGTCAAGACAGGCCAATTAAGTCCATGACAATATAGAATTCAAGTGAACATTTCTGGTCTCAAAAAATACTGATTCAAATAAAGATTCCGGTGATAAACAATTACAAATATTTGTTTACATTACAGTAAACTTTTAAAATGGTTTTTCCTCATGTTCTGCTTTTTCATGTATCTATATGTAAATGTGAATGTGTGTGTGTGTGTGTGGATGTATGTAGGGTGTGAACTTTGGGGTTGTGTCTCCAGACTCCTCGAACTACCTGTAGGTCTCAAAGGTCACACTGTGGTGATGTAAACCAACTGGACACACTCTCAACTTGCATTCAGGTCTCTCCCTGATGCTTTCCACCCATCACGTCTCCAGAAACCTCTCTCTACCCGGTCACTTACACCCACTCAGTTCTGGAGTGGCGTGGGGAGGGGCAAGGAGGTGGCATTTTCCTTTGCTCTTTGATCTGTGACCTGTGCCTGGGTGGGCGTTGCTGGGCTCCTGTGGTCTGAGCTCTCAGTTTCCACTCCCTCAGTCCAGTGGCCCTGTACAGTGTGTGCCCTTGGTTCTGGAACACAACCTTATTGTCAAATTCAAAACAACAGATATTAGTATATGAATGAGATTGTTTTTCTCTCTAAAGTCCAAGCAATTTTGGAGCGCTCTTGGTTTTCCAACATGCGCTACATAAATAAAGATTACTTATTATCTTACTAATGATGACATTTTTAGGACCAAAAACTCTCAAAAACAAGAGTCAAATATCAAAAAACCTTCAAACTTTAAAATATGTATTATGTACTTTGTGCTTAATTATCTATGCATCCTTGGGTTGGGTAAAAATGAAAATGAATTTGAAAAAACATTAAAACATAACTTGAAAACATAACATCAAATCAAAAGATTAACTAAACTGGATTAATCACGTTATGGAATTTCCCTTTTGCACTTGAACATTTATCTCAGCATATATTCTACTAATTTAAAATAATTGCAGCCTTTTCAAATTAAGTCAATATGAATTGGAGCACATTTCAGAGCAGTCTCCTCTGCTGTGGCATCAGCAGCAGGAGCAAAGGTCAGGTGCATAGTCAAAACAAAAAAGTCACCGCTTGCAATGTGAATTGGGTGAAAGTTCAACTTAATAATATCATACTTTTACAGCTAATCCTAATTCCCTCTTTCTTTTTAGATGAAGTCTATGATCAATAATCACTTTTAACACAGATTCTAATTTAATTGTTTGAAAAACGGCTTTTGCAACTAAAATATAAAATACATGAACAAAAATTATCACACACAGCTATGAAATATATCAGAGATACAAT